AATTTTGGGTCTATTTATAGCTTGATATAGAATGAGATTGAGACCGAATGGTTTGATCTAGGTAGATGCCTACAAAGAACGAAAGGAAAGAAAAAAGTTACCGATTCCAAAGAGAGAGAGTAATTGAGAGTAAGACAGATATGCCCTCCTCTATCTTTTTATAAGTCAGAGACAATGATAAATCCTTGTCAGATGATTTCTAAGAGATAGTATGAAATCAATTTCATACCTAATCTAGCTATGTTCTTCTTATTGGCACACTGACGATAATGCATCGTCTTTCATTCTACTTGAAACTCATCTCAGATACTCATACTCATTCTGATACTGATAGATTTTTCCAAAAACATCAGAGATGAGACGACAGGATTCTTGAATCTATCAAGAACTTCATGGTAAATAAAGAAATACTCGAGCAATTTAATGACGTTTCAACAGTGTGCACCATCAGAAATTTTAGACTCCATTTTCGTTAAAAATGATGATGAAAACAGGATAGATCATAACTATAGGCATGTTTTGCGAATATAGACAGATCGAAGTCATTACATAATGATACTCAATATTTAAAACAATGTGTTCGAAATTCTCAGATTTAGATTTTCAATTTTAATTAAAGACATTAATTAATCCTCAATGGCGGATATATTGACGAAGTCAAAATACAAACTGAAAAAAGTAATTTTTTTTGATTCCAGTAAACGATTATGTGATTAAAAAGACAAGAGCAGCCACATGATAAAGGCTTCGGAAAGTCATTGTCACGATACAAATATAGTCATTTAGTTTTTGCATTTTTTTTCAACAAATCGGCGACATGTTTCAATACATCATCGTTGATCTCATTATGATTAAGCTCTAGTCTGCATCGAAAGGAGAGAATGGATGTTAGATATCTGAGAACCACGCTCCCACTCAAGTTACTCTCATTTTCAATAACTCTAGCTAGCTGAGAATTCATGATTCTGTTTGAAACTGATGATGTAACTGAATCTTCGACTTGTAAAGTAACCTTAGGCTAACAATGGAACTAGTTTGAGTTTGGCAGACAACCTATAAAGAAAAATTTTGAAAAAAAACAACATAAAAAATGCAATCAAGTTTTTAGTCAGTTTAATTGATCATGGCTATCATTCTAAACTTCCATTGAAATATTATTTTTCATGAAAAGTAGATCGGATTTCCATGCAATCTGACTTCGTCTTACCAATTAAATGCGACGCTTACGATTGTTGTACTTTATATGAGAAAGATTGGCTATACAATCGATGCTTCTAAGCATTTTTATTCAATCATTGAATAGTGTTAGTAGAGAAAGACGAACAATTTTCTTTAAGCTAAACTTCGTTTTCAATGAGCAATATTATTGATGAAATTTTTGTCGATTAGTATTCATAAATATGACATATGTTAATCAATTACTCTGTTAGCATAAGGAGCTATTGTTTGATATAATTCTAGAAATTCAAAAATGATTTAGAAACAAATCTAACCTATATTTATTTTTTATACTAAAGTTTAATAAATAACCACAAAATGTACATTAAACACATGAAAAGAAAAATTATTGTGCCATATATCAATCTATTTTTTTTTATATGAATACACACTTATTTCTTTCCAGCAAATACTATTGCAAATACCACACAAGAAAGACAAAACGTTGCAAATCCAGAAAGTCGATAAAGATAGAATCGATCCTAAAATTGAATAAAAAAAATGTAAAGTCAAATGTATGTTTCTATTTCCAAAAAAAAGTAGATTTAAGTATTTATCAACATCTTCATCAGTGCACCATAATCAATAGACATCTACATGCTGAAAATTATAAGTATAATTTTGTCAGTTTCGAAAAATTTAGGAAAACTCATCCATAAGCCAAATGTGAAAATGTCTAAAGATTTACATCAACATAGGGAAATTCACATGAATAGCAATTATAAACAAGAGCATCTAGCATCTTTACAATTTGGAAAATATGACAAAAAAATTTAATTATTACAATCATTTCTATACAAATATTTCGATAATAATAATAATAAGACCATACTTTTCAGATGGTAGAAAATTTTCGAAATTTCAGTGTATTATCTAATATTGTCAATATATTATAGGAAAGAGTTTCTTTTCTCTTATTAAACTTTGATGATATCTTTGTTTGGAATTGCTTGAACATCAGTTTTTCATCTGTTGAAAAATTTTCTATTCTTTTCTATGTATAGTTTTTATGTATTTTGCAGGAATTTACAGTAATTTGATGATTTACAAGGGAAATTTGGATATTGCCTGATAAATACATACTTCAGTTAATGGTTTTTGATCGATATTAACGAATAATCTATATCCCAATTCAATAATAACAACGAACCATACTAACGATATAATGCTGATGATAACATATTGGATGATAGTTTTCATGTGCCATATATTGTATGAGTTTCTTCCTAAAAAATTTCCAGTTAAATATTTATTAATTAATAGAGATGATCTGATAGACAATTATGCTACTTACCATTTTTCTTTTGCCATCTTTTGTATGAATTTTTTCCTAAAATTTTCAGATGAATATTATTAATTATTAGAGATGAACTGCTATGCATTCAACCATTCTACTTACCTTCAACATATAAGATATCTACACAGGCACGAAAAATAAATGAAGTAACAAGCGCGAGCCCATGGGCATTCCCTATGACTACTGCAAACATGATGGAAGAACTAATGACAAGGGTTACGACGCAAAGCATGTATTGAGATGGATAAAGAAAAGTCTAAACTTGAGAAAATAAGTACTTGATTTTCGCTATGCTCCATACTTACATCACTGGATATAGTATACCGACGTAAAATGCACATTCTTATCAGTTCACAAAGGACGACATTAATAATAATCGTGATAGAAATGCCTCTACAAAGTTCAACTATATCATCCCATTTCGGTTTTGAATAAAAGCTTCGAATAAACAAGTCCTCCTAAAATACAGACAGTCATAATGTAATAGCTATTAAGCTAAACTTGAATTTCATTGTGCTAAATTGTTCAGTTTCTTGTAGAAATATGGAATATATTCGATTCTCATGTTTACAAACCTGTTTATTTGATTGAGTTTGTTGCTGATTGATATGAAACGTTTTCTTTTAATTTGCTTTTGTTGTTGTGGTATGGTTCATCTTTGAAGTGGTTACCGTAGTTGTTTGGATCACGTTCTAAGTAATATGTGGCACGATGGATAATATCTAGAAATATATTTATATATATATATAAGTGAATAACAATCTGACAAAGATGAGTGACCGTTAGACATGTCGATCAATCGTTTTCTCTTAACAAAGCAAAATATAGCTGACGAAAAATTTAAAAGAAAATACAATGCATATATGTTGACCCTGATCGATAATAAACTGTATTCGCGGCAATCGCCTGGCCTAGTTTCATTGTCTTTTTACGATTGTTTTACTTTTTCTCGCCCGTCATTATGATATTATAGTCGACGCTTAGTATTCAGTTGTTAAAGTTTTTTTTAACAAATATTTTGTCTCAATAGAACAAATATTTTTATTGCAACATATTGTTTGAAGAGAAATCGATCAGATCAAATCATAAAAAGGATTATTTTGTTTTTCATGATATTTTTGAGAAATATTGAATGAAATATATTTGATCTTCGATACCAAATGTATTTTTGTAAATATGATAGTGGACAAATTATAATGTGAAACATTGCATGATTTTGGAATATTATCAAATGTTTTTTAGATATGTGTTCATTTTTAAAGTTTATTCTAAAGAACTTTGATCGATTCTTAAAAAATGAGAAATCAAAAGTGAATGATGGTAAAACAATTAGACTACTCCAAGATATTTGATATGGTTATTTTATTCACTATATGATATTGAACGATGTTGAATTGATTATTATGAACAATATTTTTCGTTGCTGAGATAGTGCTATTGGCAAATTTATTCAAATTTAATCATTGACAATTGAATGACGTTATATGTTGAAAGAAGAGTTTGTTTAAACTTATATAAACATTGAACAAATAAATTGATTATAGAAAAAGAAAGCAAAATGAATGAATAACATAAAGGGCTATATATATCTTCGCTTAGTCAAATTCCATAGTGATTTGGAGAAGTATGCTATTCGTCTAGTCATTGTTATTATGATCTCGTAGGTGAGAATGGCGGTCTCATCTTCACTGATATCAACACTCTGCTCCCTCACACATGTCCACTTGACAAAATGATATTTCAAACAATGAGAATTTATTTATGCTTTTCGAAAATAATTTTTTATATTTTATTCAAGGGTCTTTTACTGATTACGTTCAGCTGAGATCATATTCTACAAAAACATCTGCGCATCTAACACGTGGTGGATTAATGTAAAAAAAAACGATGTCATCAGCAGGATATAATTCATCATTTCTATGACTTAATCACTGTATCAAATATGTGAAAACAGTATTATTGGCTTCATCTGTGATATTTAGAAATCAAAAAAAGAGCAATCGATAAATGTCATCTCATCTTACACGCTCGATCCTATTATTATGACAACAAGGAATATATTGAACTATACAAAAAATAAAGTATGACGTAGAAACAAAGGATAAAGTGATGTATATCTTCTTGGATTTTTATATTAAACATTTCAGATAGGTAACTATGAATACTTTGATACATTGTCACGTATATCTAATCTCCATTTTTGTCTTTGTCGTATTCTTGAAAGATGCCATATCTTTACCTTCACACGACCATCTCCCAGTTGTAGATAATAATCAACAATATTCTCATGCTTGGCTAGAGGTGAAGAATTTCGAAGTGACTCCAGATGTTAACTACGAATATATATATATATATGAAAGCAAAGGTTGATAATAATACACGAGCGACATTCTTGTTTCTTCATGGATTTCCCCCATCGTTTCATGCGTCGCATCATTAATTGGAGTATTTTGCACAGCAGCAATTCAGTTGTCTAATACCAAACATGATGGGTTATGAAAAGACATATTCACCATTGAAAATAGATGAATACAAAGTCAAATCAATGCCCAGTCACCTCGTTGCTCTACTCAATCACTTCAATGTAAACAAAGTCATTGTCGTCGGACACGATTGGGGAGCTCGAGTAGCAAATCGATTCGTATTATATCATCCTAAGCGAACTGTGGGTCTTGTGATGATTAATGATGGTTATAGCGCACCAGCAATCTTTGATCTTGATCAAGCCCTCGAAAATTCGAAGAAAAGTTTTGGTTATAAAACACTGGGCTATTGGAAAGTTTTTGTGTCTGATGATGCAGCTTCAATGCTTGAAAACAATTTGGAAAGCTTCATCGATCTTACTTTCGCAAATGATCCTCTACTCTGAAAGACACATTTTGCTCCGTTTGAGAAAATACAAGACTGGCTTATGAATAGAAAAAGAGCGGCTCGAGCTTTGTACATGACAGAAAACGATTACATAATATTTCGTCAATATCTTGTCGAAGGCATGCAACCAAAATTGAATTGGTACAGAGCGTACAATTGCAAATATCGATTGGAATGATGAAATGAATCTTGATCCAACTATTCAACGACCTGTGCTCTTTATTGGAGGAACTAACGATTATGTAGCTTTTGCGGCTGCTTTTGTGGAACACAAGCAATATATTTTCGACTTGGAAACGATCGAATTAGAAGCTGCTCATTGGACAATGTTGGAAAGATCCAATACAGTTAATCAAGCAATTGACAAATAGATCAAGAGAATTATGTAAATATGATTCATTCATGGTGTAATAATTATAGACTATTGTTGTCAATCAGTCTATTATATCTGAGTTTACACTGCAAATTTTTTTTTGATATTTACTTTCTTCGAAGTTGCTTTATTATTCATTGTCACGTTGTGACCGTTTAATGGAACAATCATCAATGTACTCTGTTATTGAATTAAATGCTTTTACATGTGTTTCGTCGAGAAAAATTCACATGTAGTGATATATTTGATTTTCGAGCTTGATATAATGATATAAGCTTGAGAAGGAGATGAAATATCATTTAGAAAGAACTAATTTGAACATGGAAGTGTCTGATTTTAGTTTTCAATGTTAAATAGTTATTTTCTGTTGGCCTAAAAGTCAATAACTTATGATTAAGAGATGCCTGACAAAAGTTGATTGTAGCATAAAAACCTCTGTAATAAGCTTATCTGAAGCTTGTTACTTCTAGAAAAGTTGAGGCAACAAACAAATTTTTCTTTTTCATACTTAAAGCGACTCAATTCACATGTCAAAAAGACATCAGAAAACTTCATTGGCATCTTTTATGTCACTCGGCTCTGTGAGATATGAACGCAGAACTCATCAGAGAGCGAAAACGAACCAAACCAATATTAATTGATCTATCACCTCTTTCGTAAAAACATATGTTGTTGAAATTGTTCAAGCAACCTTTGACCGGTTGTTTCACATAGTTAATTTAATCTCTATACGGTGCATTCGTTCTCTGATATGTCATTGTTATGATTCATAACAATAGCACATAATGCGTCCATGACGATCGGTCATTTGTACACAGCGGAATTTTTTAATTTATTTCCCTTTTTCTCTCATTGTTCTCTGCTGCAAAGAGCAGACGGATGCTCATCTAATTGGCAATAGCATTTTATTCTTATAAAAGGATAAATTTAAAGGAGTTGAATACAGACTGAAATGCTTGTTGCAATCCAAGATGAATCAATATTTTTACATTAGACGAGTGATCTTACGATACCATCGTGATGCATAGGCGCAGTGTAATTAAGAAGCTTTTCTTGTTGTGATATAAAATGTGGGTTAAACCGAACACGAATCGAACTCGAATCAATAAAAGTCGGTTCGATTCGCTCTCTGCACCGCATACCCACAAGCACTCAATCACATCCTACATTCCAGATTCGCACCTTTTTGTGACTAGTAATTGTTATTTATGTGAGGTATATATAAGATCCAACTTTTAACTGAGAAACTGATACTCATTCGACCTCAATGTCAAGTCGCCCTAGTATCCAGTTAGGTGGGGCTAATGCATGTCAACGACAAGTTTACTTTTCTTCTATTTCATAAATGAATATTTCCAATATGAGCTCTATTTTCGTAAAAAACATTTAGATCGAAAAGAAATCATAGCTGATTTCTTTTTTCTTATAGCCAAACAAGACGAGCGAGAGAACAGCTTGTGTACTTAGAGACATTGTTTTTTTTTTATATGTGAGCTGGATGTCTAGTTTGTTATATTTCAAAGAAATGTATATTGATGCGTACTGGTAACTACAAACATCGTTGCATTTGCATCGCACGATTATGATAATTTTAGATACAAAGTACAGTAAAATATAGAGCCTTCTCAATATAATACATTGACATTGGAAATACTTGAAGACGGTTCATGGAATCATCATATGGGTAATATTTTACAGTAATTCAATCAGAAAGAGAAGAAATTTGTGAAACATGCTAATGATGTGTGTTTGGGTTTAGTATAAGAGAGAGAAACAAGGGAATCATTAATGTTAATATTGAGAATATTTGTAATTGATTTGATCTTATTCAAACCCTCTTCCCTTGTTCTTGTTATCTTCTAGGTGTGTTGGCGACACTATTTTTATCGCAGTTTGACATATCATGATCTCAGTTATTTATCAACCTGCCCTATAAAAAAATTTGGTAACCTAGTCCTGTGCTGTGACTGTCGTAACCTGCAGTACTCTAATATATTTGCTCTGTGTTGTCAGTCAATGATGATCGTTTACATTTGAATCTCTCTATATTTTTAACGACGTTTTACAACTCACATATCCTATTGATTGAAAAAATGTGCATACGTATTAAGGATGTCCCCTCTTTTTTTTGATCATTTCTGATTTTCAAAGCGAGTACACCTGATCAGATTGAGATTTTTATGACACATAGAGCACCTTGAATAAGGACACACATGAACGAAAAAAAGCTTAGTTTGAAAAAGGTTTTGCAAGTCAAATACATTGGGGTTGGCCGTTAGTCCATAATCTGCACGATGACGGACAATTTCCAAGTAGGATCCATTGGTTTTTGCCGACACATTGTACGATGCTTGGCCTATGATTGAAATAGCATTGATAGCTACCATGAGACATACATTGACCAGTTGTTGTCACGCAGTCACAATAGCGTGGAAGAAAAGGTCGCCATGTTGCTTGTTGCAGATGGCTACCTTAATAATAAGAAGCCAGTAGAAAATTTCGTTAGTTTAATTAAACAAATGTCATTATCATCGTAAACATATATTTAATTTGTTGCAAACCTGCGCTTGTTTAGAATCGAGAATTATTTTATTGACTTATAGACAGTGTTCTCTTAGTTTACTGTTGATAAACAGAAAAGTGTCTCGTGTATGTGCCTTTACAGAAAATAATCCATTTTCTCTCTATTTATGTCTTACTGAAAACAGAAACAGCTAGATTCACATGACAGCACGTCGAATAGCCTAACTATGACAATATATTATCTCAACGCTTTTTCTTATTAGCGCTAGTTAATCGAATTAGTTTGACACGTATTTATATAATATCAGAATCTTACATTGAGTAAAACTATTCATAATCATGGAAGAAATAAAATATATCTCAGTAAGCCCAATTATGTATGTCCTAAGGACTATAGGATTTAGAATGAAAGAGACAAACCTATGTTTGCTATTCGAATGTTTCCGCACGCAATTCGAGCACCTGCATGACTACAATAATAAAAGCAAATACAATGTCAATCATAAATGTGTCGTATGTCTCTACCCTGTTATTTTGCTGTCACTGTACATGCCACGACCGAGATCATCCTCGTCTTTGTGAACAACAATTGATTTATTTAGAATTGAACTAGTTGATTTAGTATGCAACTGAATAATTGAGTCTTCAAAATCAATTATTGCTCTGCCAAATTGATCAGACCTCAAAAAGACTGACGTGAAGAAGCAATCAAAAGTTATTGCACAAGAAAATATTCACCAAATGTTACCAAGATCGCCGACATGTCTTCGTTCAATTGAATCGTATCTGCCACCATGCATTTTATCTACTCAAAAAAATTAAAAGACATCTGAAGGGAAGAGGAAAAAATAATACTATAAGGATTCCAATGATCACCAGCTTTCGAGCAATTCCATTCGCCATCGGATAACGAAAACATATGTACATGAAATCCATGATATCTCGTGTTCGGTATTAAATTAATCAATGTGCCCGTAACACGAACGGGTGAACCAAGAAAATCATTCTGTGTAAAGATCAATGTACCCACTGATACGGGACTTGAATCAGCGTGTAAATCAGCTCTGGCAGTCCATGTCCTCATTTCGAATGGAGAAGACACTAAAAGTGAACAACAATATAGAAAGTTTTCATCAAAGTCAAATTGAAACTGGTCTTCGCCACTGTTGACTAATTTTTCATTAAATTGCTACTGATGATGCGAATTCTTATCAGTGATGGATGCGCAGTCTCCATCGCTATTGAGTGCTCGTCAGCGCCGATTTTCTCTTCCTCGTCTTACCTGCCGATATTTATCAAAACATCTCTATTTGTATACTTGACAAAAGATTGCATGTGTCTCTTTATCAGTTGACTCAAACTGAAATGAGTCAATCTTAAATATACTTACCGTCAATGAAGAAAATCGTCACCGATAATAAGTAATATAATGAAACAAATCTCATCATAGTTATGAAAAGTATTTAGTCGATTGTATTTGTGCGCTTGTCGAGAATCAGAAACTGTTTTTCTAGTTTATCTATCTTGTTGTTATTGTTTCGTGTTGATAAATGAGAAAAGCTATCTCATGCATATATCTTTATAGGAAATAATTTAGTGTCTCTCTGTTTCTCTTTCTACCACTGACGACAATTGTCGCAAAAAAAAATCTACAGGAAGAAAAGAAGTACAGACTCCGATTGAGCATGTTACATGGAAGATTAACTATAAGCCACACGTTACGATTACTCATAAGTACTCATTTATTGAGTGAAGTATATTTGAGTAAAAGAATACATTGCTCAGTGAGACAAAATAAATAAAAAAAACGCTAAAAAAGGGCCGAAAATAAACGCGTTTCAATGCGTTAAAAGCACACACTTAAATGCGTTAGCAACGCTATATAAATTTAAACTGGGTTTTTACGGTATCGGATACTTTAACGCGTTAAAAAGTAAGGTTTTCACAAACTTTTTTGTTTCATGTCAGAGCTCCGAAAGGGTCAGCTCATGAGCCAATATGAACTGAAAGTCTTTTTAGAACTACTGTGTGACAGTACACAGTGAAACATTTTCTTTATGAGACTCTGTGAGATAATTGCAGTGCTTTTTCATAGAAACTAT